TGACAGTTGATCTTTCAGAAACTTGATTAGAATTATAAACCTTTAGCCTAATCTTTATTAGATACATGATTTTTTTAAACATCCTCTAACACATGAAATCAAAAACTAACTGAAGAGCACAAAACTGTGGTTTCTTGCTTAAAAATCCTGATATTTCCAATCTAAACAGTTTTATTGATCCACAAAGTGTGATGTATGTGGTGACATCATTGACAGCTACCTAATGCATTGCTTTTTCTTTAGCTTTACTCAGACATCACACAAATGACTCTTTTTCTTTCTGATCGATCTCCTGAGCTTTGGATAAAACCAGTTTGCTGACAGTTTGTTTACCTCCAGTAGGTTTTGCAGATGGTTGTTAATATCTGGGTTTATAGAAGCTTATAGAGTTGTAGATCAGATGTAAGAAACCTTCACGTTTCACCTGCTTTGTAGATACCATCACAGGTTTGTGAAAATCCTATCCTTTGGCCGTCTTTAGATGTTTGACACTACTGTACATCTTTACGCCAACGTAGTGGCATAAGATGAGATTTCGGGGTTTGATTTGTATCAGTAACACTCATTTTGATATCTTTGGCAGTTTCTTTGAAGCTCTCCGCTTCAGTTGGATGTAGTGATAGCGCACAGGCAATGTTGGATCAAATAATACAGACAAAGTGCTTTCAAATGTAGGCCTTTGCTATGGAAGCGTAAGCCTGCAGAATCTCTTTCTTACTGAAGGGGTTCACAGTCATTAAGTCATTAAATGTCATTACGTGCAGACAGTTGTGCGATATTCATCACTCATATCTTTTTATTCTTTTATAGCGGAGTTCTCTGGTAAAGTCAGCGCTGGGTAGAGGCCAATGCAGGATGGAAACAAAGATTATTGGACCTTTAATTCAAAAGAGTAGTCTGGAAGACATCTGAGAGAAGGGAGGAGTAGACAGATGAAGCATGGTAGTTAGCTAGACATCCAGCAACCAATTAGTAAATATATTTATTTATTTTGTATTATTATTACTGTAAGAATAAGTAGGTATATTGCATATATTGCAGCACAGATAATCTAAATGTAAATGAGAAACTAGCATGTGGAAATTAATTATTCTGTATCTTACGATACATATAAAAAGATCTGTAATATCTGCAGCTTTCTGAATGGAGCAATAAATCATGCCTCATTACGTCAAGGCATTACAAAATGTTCCAATGTTCCCCAGATCTCTGCTCCATTCTGTTGTGCAATATCTAACTATTGTGTTTCAACACAATCTTTTCAGGTCAACCTGAAATCAGTCTAATTATATGGGACTGCCTTAAGACTAGACAATCAGGCAACCCATTGGATAGTTACATTTGTAAATATGCAATTTTGTGCATCCCTGATAGAGTGCTATTATGTTGCCCCAGAAAGGTTCTTCTCTTTGTAGAGTTGGCGTGATTGTTTATTAGTCTTTCCACCCTGATAGAAACCATTAAGACAAGGCTGAGTGTAGACTGCTCCCAATCAAATGCATAACGGGCACAAAAAACAACCTCTTAAATGCTGCAGATTTGTGAAAGCACAAGGATTTCCGTGCTCCAAGCTGATTGAGTGTTGATATAATTACGTTGAACATGGAGCTGAGATTTGTGGGAAATAATGTCTTTGTTGCTAACAACAATCCCTGCGTGAGATATTACTTGAGCATGAAAAGGAAAGACTCTGAAAGGGTAATTATATGACTGTGCAGAATTAGCTCTTGAAGAGCCGATTCATCATCTGAATGATGTACACTCGCAGCACTGATCAGGGTTTATTTGCATAAACTGCATTTTGATCAAACCGTGATCTATTAATAGCACATTTTAATATTTTGCTCTCATCAGTTAACGCTGAGGTGTACAAAAGATGTTTTTGAACTTAAAAGTGTGTAGTTCATGCCCTGGACCTGCACCCGTCTTTCTCTTACTTCTTGGGCCAGATGCTCTTCAAGGTTGGTCCCCTATGTGCTCTGACCGGACAAAAGCTTCTGAAAAAAAGCTTGGATTTCACTTGTTGCCTTTCTATCCAGGGACACAGAGACGCCGGCTCTAGGAAAGAGAGCTGCCTTTGTATTGCAGGATGCAGCCAGGCAGCGAGTGGTCCGAGTGACCTGATTCTGCTACGCCGTCTCTGGAAACAGTTCAAATGAAAAAAGCGGCGCCTGCGCTATTCCAGAGGCTTTTAGTTGCACTCGTCAGACTATTCCCTCCTCCTTTCTTTCTTCGCTCTCTCCTCCTTTACACCTTCAGACGCGCAGCGTGAAATTGCCAATAATGCGGCAGCTTGTTCGCAGAGAGTGAGCCAGGAAGACGTAGATAGAGGGAAGGCATAAAAGGCAGAGAAACGGAGAGTGTAAAGTAGTAGTGGAGGTTGATGGGCCGCAGGGAGGGCGCCCCCTTGCGCACACAGGACATCGAGAGATGTTATTTGCATCGGGATGTGGAGAGTGGAAATGTCATGTTTATGTGGCGAGGTAATGAAAACGTGTCTGCTTCCTGAAAGGGTGACAGACAGGAAGCCTATTTCATTAGATTGCAGCACATAGGGTCTGATTGGCATGTTGTTCACCTTGCCAGAAATATCGTGGCATATGCCAATGAGAAGGCGACAAGACACATGCTCCATCCCCCTCCAGTCAGTGTCACAGGCATATGCGCTGTGCCAGGCGATGCCTGGGCCTTGTGATAAAATATCCGCTATGCCAAAAGACATTAGTCTGTGTCACAACTATGACTGTCATTGTGTTTATTCTTAGCCCAGTTTTCTTTTTCAGCCTTAACCTCAGAGGTGGCAAGTCTTTGTAGCTATTGCTACTCAGTCTGCTGTGTTGGGGCTTTACACATTTTGACCCATGTAAGCAAGATGAAGGGTGCTGGAGACCGTGATTGCGGTCGAGTTTTATTTTTATTTGCCTGTGTAAGCAGGTGCACACATAGAAGCAGGTTGCTGCTGCCTCAACAACCCGGGATGATTCATGGCCCTTGATATGGACAGGAGACATCTGCAGAAAGACTAACACTGCAGAAAACAGATCTTTCATGTAGCTGCGGCTTTCTAACAAGAGCCGTGCTCTAGAAATGAGCACCATTACTCTGAGCTGGCATTGGCGAGCCGAGCGGCACGCTGGCCTGGGCTGACAGCAGAACATTTCTAAAGGTCAGACATCTGCAGAGAGAAGGAGAAAAAAAAAAACATATAGAACGTTAAACATTTCCCTGTTCTCTTTCTCTCCCAGTCTCTCTACTCCCTTCTTCATTTCTCTGTTTATTCTTCATTCTGGGTTGTATTGAGTGGACTGAAAATTGAGTGCAGTGTTCGCTATCGATTCAGCCGATCACTCATAAACCGCCATTTTAGAGAGACAGCCCCTGTCTTCCATTTGCTTAATGAAGGGTCTTGTATCTCCTGACCGCTGACAAATAGACATTTGCTATATTGCATAGACCCATCCGGTCACTTGATTGATCGTGCGTCTCCGAGGTTGGTCCAGTGTGTTGCCCTACAACCGATTTGTCCCTTGGCCTGCAATGGATTTTCAAACAATGACAGACATCATTAGCCGGGGGGGCTGTTGTTATTAAGATAAACACTGCTTCTAGTCTAATTGAACTCTCATCATGGGAGTATGTACATTATTTCAGTGCATACACGAGGAGTCTGGGAGTGATAATGTACATCCAGATGCTTCCTCTCACAACCTGGGTATCGCCCTTCGCCCACTTTGTCACTGGAGACTGTGCTGTGGGTTGATGCCTGGGGGCAAAACATAGCTCAAGCTGTCTCGTTTCATGATCCGACTGAGAGAATATGCCATTAAAACCTGAAATATTAATGCTAATCAAGCAGTTTGAGGCACCTGTTATTCTGCTTTTTCAGTGATGGAAAATAATGGGCCCAGCTATTAGAAGGAAATTAGACCTTTTAAAGTGCCTGACATCATCATGTAGGTCGTATTGCTGTGCAAGATGACACAAACACAGGCAGTGGGAGTTTGTATATGTGTTTTATGTGAGATTTTCAGGATTTTCTGTGGTCTGATGTCAAAATATCTGCCTGTTATTCCATTTTTGACACATACTGTAGCATAATTTGGACTTTTTCTCCCAAAAAGTTTTTTTTTATTATTATTTCATATTGTTTTGTCAATGTTAATATCTTAATGTTTTTGCTTTATTTATTTGTCAAGATTGCTTAAAATAAAATAAAAACAATAATTCAGTTCTGTAAATATACTTTAAAAATTGGTTTAACATTTCTCTTATCAGAGCCTGAAGAGATATTCATGAACAAATTAAAGGCCGTGAGCATATCATATTTGGCAGCGCTTGAGAAGTGTTATGGTTTCATGCCCTCAATGAGTCAAAGCCCTGGGCATCATTAATCATGCTTTCGATTTGTTTGACATTTTATCCCGAGGTCTCTGCAGCTGTTTCACTGGATGCCGTTGTTTCCAAAGGCCTCTCAAGAGACTGAAATATGGAAGCATTACCAAATTATTATTTCTATATCAGAAGCAGTAAATCACTCCATTCTGTCTGACACTGCCAACTCTCCCACCCATATGTTACATGTCACATAAAGTCACACAGCATCACACGAACCGCCATATTTAAAAGATGTTTCTTAAAGATGCTTTTCCAGTTGAAATGACAAATGCACTATGTTTTTTATCAGATAAACCTTGCAACCTCTTTTTATATATGACTGCTTGAATTGAGGATAAATAGTGACAATGATGCATCTGCTTTGAAGGTGCTTCGCAAATGGACGAGTAAACATGTATGTTGTGGCACAAACTAGGAAACTGAAACCGCTTCGTCTTCCCTGTCTAGCATTTACCAGGTTCTTGCTAATGATAAAAAGTGATTCTGTACATTACATTGCTCTAAGCTAGTCATCTTATAACCAACTAGTAGATTAGTTTCAGATTTTGTTTAAAAACTCTACTGTAAAAAACCTATTTTAAACCTATTTCCTTTCTGCTTTTTAGCTCCTCACCATTGATGACAACTTCTGTGGTCTGGATATGAACGCCCCGCTTGGCGTCTCAGAGATGGTACGCGGAATTCCACTGTTCTCTGAATCCAAAGACAAAATGACATCGGTTATTGCCTACGTGTACAAGAACCACTCTCTGGCTTTTGTGGGCACCAGAGGAGGCCGTCTGAAAAAGGTAGGACATTTTTGTTTCTTTTGCAGGATTGCGAAAACCCAGTCTGTTGATCAATCTAAAGGCAGCATTGGGGTTATAGTAAAAATCACAGGAGATTCAGTGTAGTAATTGCTGACACTGGGCATTTTATGACGTGAGAAGATCAGAGCGCTGTCCACTACATCCTGCTACTGTATGTAAGAAGTTTAGATCCGGTGAGTTCAGCAATCTTCTGCTGTTGTGTCTGACACGTTTCCAAAGGAATGGTCGGTAAGCGGTGCAATGAGAGACAGACTGAGAGGGCCATGGGAATCCCTGTACATGCAGAGGCTGTTGGGGGTAATTGGATGATGCGGTGCAGGGGCTTTCGGCCCGGTACCCTCTCCTCTGACTGTGCCTCATAGGAGCCGTGTCTGAGACGAATCCAAGGGCCAGCCAGACACTGCGCAGAGCAGAAAATAACATTAAAAAACAGAGAGAGAGCACGGAAGCATAGGAGGGAAAGACAGACAGAGAGGGAGAGAGCGATTGAGAGTATCATTTTTCTCTTTTTCTCAAGTGCTAAACCTCTAGGGTGTTGACGTTACAGACAGGCAAATCTTTGCCAAAAGGCAGGATTCCAATTTGACGCGTTCTTGTTATTGTGGTGGTGTTTTGTAGTTGGATCTGGCTGCGGATGAAAATCCGTGGCATAACAGACTAGTCCTTTTCCAAAAATTTCATTCTGGAGAAGGTTGGAGAGGAGCATTTTTGATGCTGTAGGTGATAGAAGTGGTTCTTGAGTTTACGAGAATGGTAACTGTATTTGAATCCACAAATAAAGCACTATAATCTTGTTGGTTGTTGCAATGTTTTTTAAAGAGTTTAGGTTACATTTTTCATTTGTTTCCTGTCTTCGGTCAGAGTTATAGTTTTGGTTTGTACTTCCATGCCCTCTTAGAATGACCATTTAAACTGTGGTTTTTGCTTGCCACCTACAAATATACCATTGAGACTGCTAGAATTAGACTCTGTTATCTACAGTGCTCAGCATAATTGAGTACACCCTGTTTTGGAAATGAATATTTTTATCTATTTCTTAGTAAATATGGGCAATGTATTTTGGTGCATTTAAACAAAACAGATTTATTTAACAGATTTAATTATTAAAATAATATTTTACTCACAAAACATATTTAGTAATTGAAAGAAAATAGAAATAAATTCAAGCAAAAAATTGCAAAAAATTTAAAAAATATATATATTTTTTTGTTCTCTTGATTTGTCCTCTTTTTAAAAATTGTATTTAATATTTTTCTATAACATATTTGGCTGTACTAGTTTTTGGACCATTATTCTAAGTTATTTTGTTTGATAAGCTATACAGATTTGTCTTAATTTGGCAGTACTGACCACTCTAATGTGAATGCACAAATATAATACTGTACAGCTTACTATTAAAAACATGAATTTACAAAATAGATTTGTGAGGGGTGTACTTATATGCTGAGCACTGTATCTGGTAATAAGGGTGTTTTCAGAGTGCCAATACATAAAGATGTTTTGTTAGAGACTATGATTGACAAAATGACAGCTACCAAATTGCAGATAGGAACTAGAGTATGTGGCCAAACAAATCTCCAGGGAACAGACAGACAACACAGTGACGTTCTCTTTCAAGCAGACGGACAAACATAACCATGCACACACACATACACATGCACATGCACAGAAACCTTTTAGTTGCCATTTTGATGATTGCAGATCTCTGCGGGAAAACAGCAGATGATGTCACTGTTGCCTTTTAGACAAAACAAGAAAATAGTCCTCGCTGGCAGTCATTAATCAATGAAAATGAGTTTATTACCGTCCCTTTTGCATAGTGATTTATAGGCCGGCATCACGTCATATGCAGTAAATTGTTTACTAGCTGAAGACGAGCTCATCACGGAAAGTAAATATTATCTGGAGCAACTCTGATGGTTTATGCGATAGTCAAACAGGAACTTGCGGGGCCATTAAATTAAAATGAGAATTTTGTGGCTTTTGGCACATGTTGGTTATCTTTGTCATGTTCATGCTAATGAACTCTAAAATGTTGGCTAATTTCAGTTTAAGCTAATTTAAAAAAAAATACAGTCCTTGTATTCCTGGAAATTGGAGCAAAGTGGCTAATGACTCATCCTGCACCATCATTTTTATAGCAAATGAAGTTGTGATATATCTAAAGCTTATTGGAAGTTTTCTACCAAGCAGTTTTATAGGATCTTTCAAGTGGCTTGTTCAAACAGAAACTGTAGACGTCGACCTACTTAGAAGTCATGTTGGAGAAAAGCTAAATCTAAAGTGGTTATTTAATTGTTTTGTGTGTTGCTGTGATTGTTGATCATATTTTTTTGCTGAATACGAATGCTGGTATTAGGATTACTTAGGTGGAACACGACAGCAGAATCCCCTCCAGGTGGTTATTTTAAATTTGAACAGGATAATCCAAGGCTTACAGTATTCAGCGTGGCTGCGGTTCTCCAACTGTAGTTAGCGTTCTCAGTGTGATTGACTTCGAGAGGAGGTGCAATGGCAGAATGTTCTGTGTCTCACCATGTTAAAAAGACAGAGCTGTAGCCAAACCCCAGAGAGAAGCAGTAAACAACTTCTAAACACTCTAGAGAATATCACACAGACACATTTTTATGACGCACACACACTTGGCCATAAGCATAAAAAGCAGAAGACACGAAACTGCTGTGTTTGCTGCAGCAGTTGTTCAGCACTCCTGGCACTGCGGCAGACCCCCAGACCAGATGTGGTTTTGGGACTTTGGAACCTCTTTGTCCCATTTTACTACCTTGTTTATCATTCATCTACTCATCCGTCTATCATTTTCTCCCTCAATCTCTTTTCCCTCACAAATTTAAGTGTATTTTTTTTGCATGCTGTAATTTTTTTTATGTTTTTTTATATGATATTTAAAATTAACTACTTATTTCTAATTTAATTTCACTAGTATTGTAAAGTTTGCTGAAAGTGGTATTTTTTAAGATTTAAATTTAATGCTTTATACAGATTTCACAATATGAAAGAAAATATCAATAACCAGCCTACTGCTTAAAGCTTTCCAATCCCTTTAACCCTTCTCATTGGCATCTACATTATCTTTTTTAAAACCCCTTGTGATGCCCTTCAGTATTTACGTATAATAAATAGGCCATATGGTCAGGCCTCAATCCTCGGCGTTGGCTGGTAGCTATGTCAAAAAGGGTGAAATTAAACCTATTAATTGCGGTCAGTGAATTCGTGTCGAGCCAGGGGTGAAGTCGACAGGCTCCTAATCCTTTAGCATGAGGCATTTTCGGCGGTCACCCGCAGTAGCCCCCCATCTACACCCCCCACGGAGGTGATAATGCATCCAGTCGTCCCTCTCGCTGCTGACAGAACCTCAGCCACTCACTCAATACAATGAGCAGCTAACCTTGAAGCAGACCTGGCACCGGAAGTCTGGCTGACAGCGCCCTGCGTGAAGGACAGAGGGGAAAGTGTGTGCTTGTGTGCAGGTGGGTCGAAGTGTGTGTGTTATCTGATGAGGTTCTGTGCATTTAGCCATGAGGTGTGCACTGAAGTGAATTCTCCAGCCCTCGGAGGAGATGCACAGTTCAAAGGGCGCGATTCACACACTGTAAAATTGTTCAGGCAGCGGAGACGGGTTGTTTCAGGATGACGGCTCAGATTGCCGGTTGTCGATGCTGATGGCCGGTGGAAAAGGCTTCAATTTGTCTATGAATGGTAGATGGTTGTGGGGAAAAGGTCACGTTATCCTTTAGATTCAATTGTCCCTGTACGTCTTGTTATTGCTTATTCTTGCTGTAATTCTGGTTTTGCTGATTTTTACATGTGCGCAAGTGCTAGGAATGTGTACATGCTTCAACTTGACCCTAAATTCAGTAGTGTAGCACATTACAAATACTCATTACTGTAATTGAACAGTTTTTCTCAGAAATGATCATTTAATAAGTAGTTTTTAAAATGTGTACTTGTACTTTTTACTAAGTACAGTTTGGTGACCACTGGTTTAGATGAATGTCACTGATGAGAAGGTGACGGATGTTTACTGTATGATGACCGAAATGGCGTTAAACAATAACTGAATGCACTACAGAATGTTTACACACACATCCACAAATTGCATGTAAAATGCATCAGCTTTTTACAGCGTAATACTCACTACTCACTACTATTTTTTACTCATACTTACTCATCAGTAATATTTACAACAGATACTTTTACTCTACTTTCACTATATTTTTGGCAAAATAAAGATACTTTTACTTGAGGATGATTTTACAGTACTCTTTCCACAGACTGATTTATACAATTACTGTAGATGTGGATGCTTGTATACAGTAGTTTATAGTGCTATTTTATATTACATCAACATAAATTCTAATAATAACAATAATAATTGTATTATTATTATTTTTATTTTTATTATTATTATTATTATTATTATAATTATTATTATTATTATTATGTTGATGTAATAGGGGAAATTAAACTACTGTATACAGACATACATACATACAGTAATTGTATAAATCAGTTTGTGATATTGTTATGATGCTTATCCATCCCAATCTAATGCTTCACAGCTTCTCATAATAAAATAAAAAGTGCAAAAAGCATCTGTCAAAACTAACTGAGATGAAAAGTATTGGTCTTTGCTCAAGCAACTCTTGAGTCTATCAAACATCTCAGTGCACATTAAATGGCTCAAAATGTCCATATTTGTATTCTTTAGGTTACATGTGCATTGAGGAATGCAACAAGCAACTGTGCATTGTTTTCACATATTTTCTAAATGATTACAGCATTTCACTAGCTTTTTAATGACACATTTGTATATGTTTTACAAAAATGTAGTGTTGATAAATATGCAGATTTTATATTTGTTTTAAACATTTAAATAAGAATTGTTACTGCATTTTTTGAATGACTAGTCAACCAGTTGAACATTGTTAGCCATCCCTTCTTTGTGCTTTCAAATCCCA